TCCAGATATGAAAGATAGAAAAGGAGAGGTCAATTCTTTGGGCCTCCATTTTCTTGATGGTAAGCAAAAATATTCTCTAACCCTACTTCACAAAGATATTATCAAGATTATTAAAATTATATGCAAGGCTTTCTAGTCTATGTGTAACAAAACTGCAAATATACACATATCCTTTGACTCAAAGTATCCTACTAGGATTTAGCCTAAGAATATCAGGGATGCTCAATACACCCTTTATTATAATATTATTAAAAAGGAAATAATTTATATGTATAGAGATAAGCTAAATCAATTATTGAATATATAGACATCAAAAATGAATTATCCACATTTAAGTTGCAATGATAATATGTTCAGTGTGTATGAAGTGATAAAAGCAGGTTTATAGCACAATTTGACTATACTTCTAAAATATGTGCTGATATACATTTTTAAATTCTGGAAAATTAAATCATAAGTGAATTTAACTCTTTTTGGCAATAGGCACTTTTTTTTTTTTTAGTTGTTAATGGATCTTTATTTTTATTTATTTATATATGGTGCTGAGAATCGAACCCAGTTCCTCACACTTGCTAGGCAAGTGCTCCACCACTGAGCCACAATCCCAGCCCCAGCATGTTATTCTTTTAAAAATGTGCTTTAAAGGAACCTTTTTGGCTTTTGTTTACTTCTTTTTTCTGATTACAAAAGATATGTGCTCGGTTTTTAAAAGGCAGGTAATTCTGTGTGTTCTTTTTCCTGTTAAATAAATAAAATATCTCAGAGAAATATCTAAACAAAAATAAAAGACAACAAAGGCAATAATCATCCCTCTTGCGTTCAACCTCCCTGTTCTTCAAACACTTCCTCTTCCAGCATCCCTTCTTCTCCTAGTCATAAAGGTTCTACAAAGTATCACCTCAGTATCCATGATCCTGAGTTAATGAACACTCACCTACCTGGTGATGGTGTCTTAACCTTGTATCAAGCCTAAACTTTCTCAGATACACATTTCTGCACATGTGTCACACATTCTTAAAAGTCAGCATATTCACAAACTCTATCTTCCCTTCCCTTTCCCACCACCAATTCCAGATGCATATTTCCTAACTCCATTAAAGCCTTCTTCGTTCATATGGTCTCCTGAAGCTGGCAAATTTGATTCTGTCCACTCAAATAACTAGTGAACAAATTCTCTCTTTCATGACATTTCTAATTTACCTCTTCCTTCGTCCATCTCATTGCAATTTTCAAAGCTAACTAAGGCCCTGCTGTTTCTGACTTGGACTACTCAGCCAAACATTTCTTGAGCACCCATTATATTTCAAGCACAGTAAAAAGGAGTTGAGGATATAAGATTAATAAAGCAAAGTGTTGCCTCTCAACCATATCTTAGAACGGGGAAATATAAGAAAATACAATGCAATAAGTACCAAAATTAGAACAAAATCAATAAAACATCAACTCCTTTCCTATGTGATCTAATTATACAACTACCCAAATTAACTTTCTAGAATACAAACTAGATCATGTCACTCCTCTGTTGTAAAATCCTTGATGATTCTCCCCAATTGCCTATAGGAGAAAGTCCAGATGCTTTAATACCATGTAAACACTTCACAATCTGGTCCCAATTTACCTAACAGTTCATATATTACTTTTCTTTCACTTCACATCCTATGACCTAACCATGTATAACCAGATGCTGTTCTGATAATACGCTGGGTACTTTCCTAACACCTAATGCTTGTGCATCCTGCAGTAGGAGAGAGCCCTTCTTCCTTGTGCCCAGCAGCAGAAACCCTGTCCTATTATCAAATGAAACCTCCTTTCTGAATCATACATTAACCTTTTCTCCCAATGTTCCCCAACTCCCTAGTACTAAGAATGTCCTGAATCAAGGAGAGCTCTACCATGGAGAACACTCCCATCACTTTTTATTTTTTATTTTGAGTCAGGATCAAGCTAAGTAGCTGAGGCTGGCCTTGAATTTGCAATCCTACTGGCCCAGCTCTTAAGTCACCAGGATTACAGATATGCAGCACCACACCTGGCCCAATGTAGTTTTTATACAATCTATTATAATACTTCTTACATTGTATTGCAATTTGTTTGATATATTTTCGCTCTCTACCATTAGACTGTATATTCTTAGTGACAGAGATTACATCTCATATTATTTGTACCCTTCCCAAAGTCTAGTTTTAGTAAATATTAAAAACAAAACAAAGCAAAAAAAACTGTTAATGATAGGGGGAAACAGATTTGCAGAGAACTAAAATATACTACACATTTTTTTTGTTGTTGTTCTCTGTCTGGAAGCCATGGGTATACCTAAAACACTAAGGTCACTACCTACCACCACTGATAAATACATGGAACACAAAGAAGACTGTTTTAGTCTTTTCCCTCTTATCTATCTAACTAGGATTCATCCCACAAATAACAGTAAACAATACAGAGAGAAGTCCTGCCCACCAAAGGCTTATATTCATGTGGGAAGAGGCCATTAAAAGGTAAACAATAAGGGGCTGGGGTTGTGGCTCATTCGAGACCCTGGGTTAGATCCTTAGTACCACATAAAAATAAATAACTAAAATAAAGGCATTGTGTCCAACTACAACTAAAAAGTAAAATATTTTTTAAAGGGTAAACAATAAGTAAGATCACAAATACTGATCAATGTGGTGAATTTAAAAAAGCAGTCTGATGGAATTAAGGGTGCTTAGAGGAGACACATGCCACTTTAAATGGGAATAGGGAAGAAGTCACAGGTTTCCTCGAGAAGGTAATTTTAGGAAAATAATTATGCAGGCAGAGGCAACTGAAGAGAAATACACTTGGCTGCTTGAGAGAGAGTAGAGACAATGTGTCTAGAAAAAGAAATAAGTGAGCTGGGCACAGTAGCACATGCCTGTAATCCCAGCAACTTGGCTGAAGCAGGAGGAATGTAAGTTCAAAGTCAGCTTCGGCAATGTAGCACGGGCCCTAAGAAAGTGAGACCCTGTCACAAAATAAAAAATAAAAAGGACTGGGTATGTGGCTCAGTGGTTGAGCACCCCTGGGTTCAATCCTGAGTACAAAAAAAAAAAAAAAAAAAAAAAAATCAGGAAATGAATTTGGAGAAGTAGGGCCTTTGTAGTTGGAACCATGGTGGAAGCCTCAAGACACCTACTTGGGTTTGGCATTTTCTAGTTTACTAGTTCTATTGTCTGCACAATCATCTGCATTCTCATAGCAGGACAAGAGAATAATGGAATGGGGTTCACAGCCCACTCTATTGTTAAACAGATGCCAAGTGATCCTCAAAGTACCTCTCCTAGTTTCTGCTGATTAGAAGTACTGCTAGATATAATGTTGTAAAATATGGTCCCAGGGCTAATGAAAACATGATAAGCACAAAAAATAAAACCACTTTAAAAGAAATACAAACTTCTATTAACTATAAGACAGGTCACAGAGAATGATATCAAAAGTATCCTAGATTCATTATAGGAAATAAATACTCTGCTACTTTCAAAATACATAAAATTTATAAATATATCCTTTTAACTGAATGAATTTTTCCATTCCCATGTAAACTTGTAATACAAATCTAGATCTCAATGATTAAATAAACTCCCAGTTTCACCTAGCCAAGGTTTTTCTTCACTTTTACAAAAATTAAAAATTATGAGAATTGTACAAATTGATATGCTTTAGAAACTCTCAGCAGTAATTTTGTGAATGTTTATGCCATTATCTATTTAATGCAAGTATTACTGAGATGGTAAAACAAAGTCAATCCATTACATAAATGAATATTTGTGAAACTAGTTGCTAAAGCAACAGAGTAGTTGCTAGGAAGTCTACCAGTGTGAAATTACACATCTTACTCCTATTCTCAGTAGCATCTGCTTGGCTTGCTCACTCGAACATGAACAATCCTCTAAATATAAAGACCCTTTCATTATCCTTGTAAGATCTTAAAATTCCAGGATGCAAGCCTTCCACCAGCAAAAATAAACGCATTCTCAGTATCACTACACTCAATACTTGTATCCAATGATCTCCGGCTAGTGTAGTAATGTTTCCCTAAGGCTCTCTAAGGCAGATCAGAGGTAAAATTTTTCCCCCATATTTTGCAAGATCATCAAAAGCAGCAGAGGCATCAAACAATAATCATCTCATGTTCCCTCTCTCCCTTTCCTCCAAGGGCCAAAGTTTCTTAAAAYGAGTCTTCATAATAACCCATGGCCCCAACAGCTATGAAGCAAAAGAAAACATTTTAGTCTAAAAGGGGAAATGTTTACATTCTGCAAGCTGATCCCATTCATAAGGTCTTTATCTTCTCTTCTCCACTCATATAGGATGGCTCATTAAAATGTATATAAATACCCTATATACCTTTTAATCAATCCCATCTTTAAACTAGTTGTTGTCATTATTATTTCACCCACAGATTCACACTTGGTTGGAAAATAAAATTGCATGATTTCTCCCTGGAGTTCTATCTCAATCTTAATGTTTGGAACTCCAAGAAACTGTTTAATGAAAAACTTCTCTATACAGGATATATAGTCTTGCAGACTAAGTCTGGGTATTATTAAGGAAGGATTTACTCTTCTTTTTTCAGGGTAGAGGTTTGAATTAAAGCAAGGACTTACAACCTTCTTAAAGTGTGATTCGAGAAACAACAGTATCTGCATTACATGGGAATTTGTTAGAAATRCAGAATTTAGGGCTCTACCCCAAACCTACTATTCAGAATCTGGATTTTATTGATAATTTGGGTGCTTATATACCTATATCATAAAGTCTCAGAATTGATGAAAAACTTTAAAGCCTATCACACATAGACCTTGAACAATAAAATTATGACTCATAAACTATACTCCCCTTCACAAATCCTTTATTTCTTATACCAACAGGTCCTACTTAAGAGAAACTTGCCATAAAACTATAAACTGCTTGTCTTGAAACACATCAAGCTTATTATAGCAATTGTTGTTAGTGGAAGCCACTGACAACCGATTTCTTACCTAATCTGAGCTCTCCGAAGTTCCCACACCCTATCTTCTTGCCAACCCTGAAGTTGGGTCCTACCATAAGAACCCCAGAGGATGTCGAAGAGCCAGATGGTCGAGAGCAGTGTGCACTCCTTTGTGCCATGGGTTTAGTTGTCCGTTGTCTTTCATCCTTTTCCCTACTAGGATGGTCCATGATCCTACACGACAAAGTCTCTGTATAACGAGTAGCCTCAGTGTGTATACCTCTCTTCAATACAAAAGTATGTCCAAATAAACCGTAGTCAGAGAAATATAAGAAGTTCTTTTGGCACCATATTTATGTTTCTAATGTATCTCCAGGAGATGAAAAACCATTGATTAGTTCCTGTAGGACATGTAGTCTGTAGGTCTCAAGCATAGGAGGACATTTTGTAACCTAGGTAAAAATCAAGAAAACATGCAGTTAAAAATTAAATTTTGAAACAAATTGAGAAAGACACCACTAATTAGAATGGATCATATCCAAAGATGAACAGTGGATAGCTTCCTGAAATAGGTTTTGGTTTCATATCCTCCAACAGTTTAACCATCTGGATTAGTTATTCATGTGTTAACATAAGCTCAGTGGGCTGCAAACTATGGAAACTAAGGGAACACACAAGCCTTAACCACAAAATAGTTTCTTCTAGTAATGTACCTATGACCACTATCCCCCAAAATATTCGTTGGCTTCCTCATCACAGGCTAACAGAAAGATCTAGTGAGGTTAGAGTCAAGTTAAATACAACGTGGACAATTTAATTACACGTTCTCTTCTTTTTAATTTATCTAGAATTTAACCAGAAATGAGGTTACTCACTGCCTCTCTTCCCCATTCCATTATTTATCAAGCACTGGCAGCAATTAGGCAATCGGAAGGAATTCCCCAAACCCTATTAGTACTAAGTAGCCATAGACTAGAGCTTTGAAAAGCTCAACTTTTGGTCTAGCTTTTGATGTGGATTTAGCATGCAATGATAAGACTTTCTAAAGGAGGTCCATTATAGAAACTCAAAGAGAAAATAAAGCCAAAAAACTAAAAAAATCTTAAACATAAATAACATTTGTCCCTACCAGAATTCCCCAGTTTCCCAATTCAGGACTGAATTTATCACAAAAGGTTACAATGAGATCATTTTGATGCTATATTTGATAATCCAAGTGAATATCTGTAATATTATGTTTTGGTTTTTGTCCATGGTTTCTGGTTCATTACTCCTATAACCCTTGTTATTTCCTAAGGGATCAAAATAATGTTGGGGTGCTTTAGACCTCAGAGGAAGGCCTTAGAAAACAAAATGTAACCTTCCTTTTGACCTCCTTCCACCTGCTACTTTTTCTCCCCAAGGCAAGCCATAAAAACTAGAGTTTCTTTTCTCCAAGGCAAGTTACGTTGTGAGCTCTTAGAACTTCCCAGACCAATCTTCTCACCAATCCTGAAGCTGGGTCCTACCATAATTACCCCAGAGCATATCTCTTCTCCAATGCAAGTTCCCTAGCCCCTATTGTGGAGCTGCTGACCATAAAGAAATTCTCTGACCAACCTGTTTCACAGAAGATCATAATATGCCCATTTCAAAAAGCTGGGAGGGAAGAATGCTGCACAGAGAGGCAAAACAATCTGAACAGACTGGCTTACTAGATTTCCCCACTGTCAATTATTAACATAAAATCATACCCTTTTGTCCAGTAACATTTCTGAACCCTCATCCACGCTTCAACCATGCCTACACAATGAAGTCTTCACAAAAAAGAAAAAGGACAGAACTTGGATAGCTTCTGGATAGCTTTTAACATAACTGTAGACAGGGAGATTCCTTAAATGGTGTTGTACCACCTACAGAGAGCAGGAAAATCCTGTACCACTTGCCCCATCCCTCACCTTATATATCTCTTCATCGTATCCTTTGTAATATCCTTAATAATAAACCAATATATGCATTTCCCTGAGTTCTATGAGTCACTTAATAGAATGAACCCAAGGAAGCGGTTGTAGAAAGAAGCCCTATTGATAGCCAGTCACTCAGAAACAGAGGTAAAACAACTCAGGGCTTAGGAATGACATCTGATGTGTGGGAGAAGGGGTTCATCTTGGCAACTGTTTCCTCATTCTGTGGGATCTGATGCTATCTCCTGACTATGTCAGAACTGATCTGAATTAGGACATGGACAATCAGATAGTGTCCACTGCTGTAGAAATACTTGCTTGCTTGCTGGTTGGAAGAAATCCCCATACCTTTAGGGGTCACAGAAGTCTTCTATGTTGATTATTGAGGTGTGAGAGTAGAAGAAAATCAGTTCTGTTTTCCCAACTCAATACCCTTAAGAAAAAAATACTTTTTGTCACATGTTAAATCCATGTTTATGTTTCACTTTCAAAACCATTCTCCTAGCTGGGCATGGTAGCACATGCCCATAATCCCAGTGGTTCCTGAGGCTAAGGCAGGAGGATTGCCAGCCTTAGAAATTAGCAAGGCCCTAAGCATCATGCAAGATCCTTTCTCTAAATAAAAAAAATAAAAAAGGGCTGAGGATGTAGCATGTAGCTCAGTGTTTACACGACCCTGGTTTCAATCCCTGATACTGGGAAAAAAAAAAAAAAGAATGGAAAAAAAATTCTCCCCCAAACATTTAAGAGAACTGAACAATTACTTGGTTATCATTACTAGCACATAACACAGCAAAAATATCTAGACTGTAAGCTTTCTGAGGACACTAGAGATAGGATATAATCACAGGTACAAAGCTAAGAGCTGACTGTTCAAGTAGGTACATAATCCAAAAATATAATATTTTTGCTTCATTATAATAGTTAAAATTACTGCTTACTCATCTCTTTTTATTGAGATGAGATTAGCAATTACTAGATTTCCTATATGAACAATATAAAGGATCACAAGTTTGAGGCTGGTCTGCTTCAACTCCCTACCCACCACACACACGCAGTAGCTGGGATTACCTGCACCACTATGCCTGGCTTAAAGTTCTACTTCTTTATCACCACCCACTGCTCAAAATGATTTTCCGGTTCCCAATCATAAGCTCTGTAGCTTGTTACTCGATGCTCTTGAATATCAACCATCTTAATCCTCTTTTTAAATAGCTACAACATAGGGTTGATGATGTAGCTCAGTGGTAGAGCACTTGTCTAGTATGCATAAGACCCTGGGTTTAATCCCCAATACCACAAGAAACAAAAACAAAAACTACAATATAAATACAAAGAATACATGCCTTATATCTAGAATGGCCTCTTAACTCTTCTATTTGCATTTAAGGCTTGACTCAAGCTTATCTCCTGGGTTAAACCTTTTATAACCAATTTGTCATTTACACTTGAAACACCACTGTATCAGTCATTTGTCATCCACCATGTACCAGATTATAATTATGCATATCCTAATATCTAATTTGATTTATAAGCTTTTAAGCTTAGGGATCCTGTAATTTCTCCTTTAGTTTCTTACATATAATTAAGGTAGTACTTAATAAATATTAAGTTTAATACTTATGATGGATTTGTTCGAGTATTTGAAAACAGATTTCAGTGACATAATCAAATGTGTACACAACAGAGAACTAGAATTCATCTAGTAAGAAGCTAATATTAATTCACTTAAATTCAGTGTTAAGATATGTTAGGATTTCCATTTCACAAGAATATTATATAGTTTATTTACAGTACTAGTTGGTAACATGTAAAAAAAAAAAGCTTAAGAAGGAGGTTAAACAATATTGAAAGTAAAATTAAATTATACTATAACATTAAAAAAATGATTTCTAAGAACAGCAGCAAAAACCAAACTACGTTTATTTCTTACATTATTATCTGTCTCATTATTTCTAGTCCTTTTTATTCCTCTAAAAAAAGTAGAGGAAAGGGGGCTGGGGATGTGGCTCAAATGGTAGTGCGCTCGCCTGGCGTGCATGCAGCCCGGGTTCGATCCTTAGCACCACATACAAACAAAGATGTTGTGTCTGCCGAAAACTAAAAAAATAATAATAATAAATATTAAAAAAAAAGTAGAGGAAAGAAATTATATACACGTAAAAGTATGTGTTTATTTTTCTAATGAATAACCATTTGACAATAACTTGTAACTTATTTATTAAACATGTTACACACTGTGATGAATCAATATTTGAATTTTTATAGTCACAGCAGCAAGTTCCTAAAGAAACCTCAATTCTAGTGGTTCCTATTAATTTAGGTATGATTAAATGAGAAGAAAGATGAGATATTTTTTAAAAGTATGAAACTCCACATATTTTTTGAAATCAAAAGTTATATCTTACTGGTTTGGTGATGTTTGCCTATTCAACACAAAGAAATGATAAATGTGCTAAGCATGGTGACACACACCTATAATCCCAGCTATTTGGGAAGCTGAAACAGAGGCATTTTAGCCTCAGCAATTTAGTGAAAACTTGTCTCAAAACATAAAAAGGGCGGGGGGGGGGGGGGGGGGGGTAGAGTGCTTGCCTACCATGCACAAGGTCCTGGATGCAATTCCTTATACTAAAAAAAAAAAAAAAAAAAAAAAAAAAACAACAACAACAACAAAACAAACAAAAAAAAACTGAAAAAAGAAAAGGATATAAATTAGATATCTCACCAAAAGGTAAACAGATGGGAAATAAGTATATGAAAAGATGTTCAATACATGTCACTGGCAAACTGCAAATTAAAACAAGTGAGATACTATTACACACCTATCAGAATGGTGAAAATCCAAAAAACTGTGACAACACCAAATGCTTAAAGGAGAATACAGAGTAACAGGAACTTTCATTCATTATTGGTGGGAATGCAAAATGGTACAATCAATTTGGAAGGAATTTTAATGATCTTATAAAATTAAACACAATTTTTACAGATGATCCAGTAATCATACTCCTTGGAGTTTACCCAAATGAACTGAAAATTGATGACCCACAAAAACCTGCACATAAATGCTTACAGCAGTATTACTTATAATTGTCAAAAAACCCTCAAAATCAAGGATACTTTTAATAGGTCAATGGATAAACAGACTGTGGTAAAGCCATGCAACAGTATATTATTCAACAATTTAAAAAAAAAGCAAAATCACTAAAAGACATGGAAGAAAGTTAAATGCTTATGGCAAAGTGAAAGAAGCCAATTTAAAAAGGCTAAATACTATATAACTCTATGACATTCTGGAAATGGAGACAGTAAAAAGATGATTGATTGCCTGGTGAAAAGAGGGGACAGAGGGATGCCAAGATGAATGGTTGGAGCACAGGAGATTTTCCAGTCGGTGTAACTATTCTATATTAATATTGGCTCATCAACTGTAAAAAAAACACCACACCAATGGGATATTTTAATAGGGAAAAATAAAGTGGGGAGAGAGAGAAAGAGAGTAAGAATAT